GAAGTTTTCTCCCCAGGGACCCGAGACCATTCCACAAACTGAAGTGCTGCCAGCAGCATATGCTTTTTGCAAGAATAATTGAAACCATTAACTGGAGAGCACAGAATTCTTTTGAAAGTCTGCCAGTTATTTGCAAGTAACTTTGGCAGTGGCACAAAATATAACACTTGTATTTTAACTTCTACAATTGCACTTTTAGGAGCTGGCCTCTAATTTGATTTTCAGTTGTTCTGATAAGATTTCTATTTTATGATTGGCTTTATGTTTAATTCTTGTTTAAAGAAACACGATTTGACTTAAATGAAAACCTAAGTGCTGATGAATAGGAGTTCTACCAAAGCAACAAGTTAGTTATTTCTTCACGTTTAACTTGAATTCACTTTTTTACCCTTTTTTTAAAAAAAAGAAGAAGAAACAAAAAAGATCAGCAGCGAATATTACCCTGAGGAAGGGTGCGATTGCTTGCATTTTAATTTTTGTTTTTTTAATATGGCTGTAAACGTTTCCCTGGTTCGTGATACAAAATGGCTGACGTTAGAAGTGTGTCGAGAGTTTCAGAGAGGTACTTGTTCTCGGTCTGATGCAGAGTGCAAGTTCGCCCATCCGTCACGGAGTTGCCATGTGGAAAATGGTCGAGTTATTGCCTGCTTTGACTCCCTAAAGGTGAGGACTGTCTAACGCGTGCATTACCTAAGCTTACTTGCTTCTCCTTCTCTTCCAAGTGGCTCGGTATGCTGGGATGTGGGATGTGCAGAACAGCTGTTTATTGCTTTGTTCCCGCAGGGAGGATGCTGCCGGTGCGGGATGCAGCTCCTGAAATCTAGGCTGAGTCTGACATCGGGTGCGACTGCCTGGAGTGCCAGGCATTGCAAGGAGAGACAGGATTCTATCCAGGGCATTTTCTGATGGTAGCTCAGGTCTGATATAGCTGTCCCCGAAGTGGAGAACGCAAAGTTGTGGGCAACAAATGCAACTAAATAAGAAGAGTAGAGAACAAACCCAGTGCTTGAGTGGCCAGAGCACATCAGCCATGCATTGGGTGCAGGGATCTGAAATGTGCTTTTAATGAGCAGGAATGAAAGCAGCATTTTAAGATAATGAATCAGCTCTACATGTATTTCCTGGAGACAAGAGTTGCAGATGCACTCCGAACGATGTCCGGTAGATGAGGAACAGCCAAAATATTTGGAGAACAACATTCCCAGAAATGGGCGTCAGGAAAACGTTTCCTGCGAGGGACATGCAAACGCGATGGCTCTGCCAGGCCTGTCGGAGCTGTGGCTGCACCGTGTGGCTGGTGCTCATCCTTGCAGTGTCTGCTTGGGAGGCAGTAAATAGCCCTTGATTGCTTGTCACTGCCGGAGCTCCAGGGGCGACTTCTGAACTTTGCCAAAGATCTGGGCTGTCCCTCGGGGTGTGGGATGGGGGGCTCACAGGAGGGGCATCTCTCTCCAGGCTCGCTTCACCATGGTTCTTGGAAAAAGAATATCCACCTTTTTTTTCTTCTTCCCAGAAGTATGACTCCTCAAATGTGTTTTTAGTAGGATAGTAAAAGCTCTGAGAGCATATGAATAACTGATAGCATTTGAGAACTCTTGACATTGTGTTTAATGTTTTGATCGGAGTAATTAACCTGTTTAAATTTCTAGAAAGAGTCTGGTAAATTTTACAAGCTTGAAAGTTTTCCCTTGAACTTCAACTGTTGCTTGAAAAGATTTGGGTTTATTTTTATGAGCATAATGAGTAACAGAGCTGGTGGAATTATGTATGCACAGGTTCAGGCTGAGGCTGGATCTGGTCTGACACTGGTTTACCCATTTCATTCCTTAGTGGCTTCTTCATATTTTCACTTTTTTTTTTCCAAGAAGCTCAAGTTTTCTGTTTGCATTCGGTTTTCTCTTTTTAATCTGATTATATGCAATGACTCTTAGTTGTACGGTGACTTTCAAATGTTCATTTACATTGCTGGTTTGCTGACAGCAAGAGACAAACATTTTTTTTTTTATTGAAGGGAAAAAAAAAATCGTGTTCTTTATGCCCTTGAAACTTTTGAATTGTAGCCAGTGGCAGTGCAGATACTTTTAATGAAGAGATTATTATGACCACATTTTATAGCGTTTATTTGTGAACAGAAAGGAGGGACTGTCATGCTGTGTTGGGTGGTTTTGTGCCCCTAGGAGAACTTGTCTGCAGTGTCTCGGGGAGGTGTCCCCCTGTGCAGGCACCCAGCTTGGCTGGGCTCTGAGCTGTGCTGTATTCTGCTGTCACCTGGTGTGTGACACTTCCCCACGTGTGCTGTTGGCAGCGCAGAGTCTGCAGCTCACCCAGGCTCTCTGTGCCAACCCCTCTCTGCACAGCTGGGGCTGGGAGATGTGCAGGACCAAGTCCATGGGTAACTGGGATTCAAAGAGTATGATCTTCTACAGCTCAGAGCATTTCCCATGTAGCTGGCTGTTAATGCTCTTGTTGCAGTTTCCTCTTGACACAGTAGCAGATGCTAGTTAAGTGGCCTGAATTTTTTAGGAAACAGATTTTTTGGGTTTAGGAAAGCCTCCTGGAGGGCCAGTAACTCTATGTTTGGGAAGTACAGCGGGAGGAGTCTGACTGTGCAGACCACTTGGCCAAGGGTTAATGATGGGGCTGTTTCTTCACCCCACTTCTCAGAGCAGAAGTGGGTCTTGGAGCACTTCCTGCCTCCAGACCCACGGATCCAGTAGCTCTCCCTGTAAGTCTGTGCAGAGCCCTGTTTCCACTGTGCCACAGAGAGCTGTGGTCTCTGTGTGTGTGGGTACACCACGCGTTTCCCAGTGGAGAGAACCACCCTGGTGACTAAACTCTGAAACAATGGTTGTTCTGTTCTTGGGCCAGAGCTGGGCTTGCAAAGCCCTGTTTGCAATGGTGGTGAGGGGCTCATGGCAAGAACAGAGACCTCCCTTACCTTTGTCAAGAGAGATGTTACATTCTCAGACCTGTTAAGAAGCTTTTCGTGCCCATCCTGTGGACATCCTTGTGCCCAGCAGCTGTTGAACACTGACCCTCCCTCCCGTGGAGGGCTCAATAGCTGCTTAGGGCTCTCTTGTCTTTTCACACCCTGCATTAGCAGAACATCTGTGTTGCTTTATTGGAGACAGGATATAGGATGCTTGCAGCTAATAAGTTTTCCCGTTGTCTTGCAGTCGCCCAGGGCTTTGTTCCGAGGTTGCTTATCTGCATCCATTGTGTACTGCTGTTGCTTGTTTTTTTTCCTCCCAAACCTCTTAAGCCTGAACAATGCCTTCACACAGGAACTCCTGATAACCCAGTGTACAATGGTTTCACCTCACTGGTCAGGTCACGAGCAGCATATATACACTTTCTGCATCTCTCTTTTCCCTTTTTTCCTCAGTCTCCTTGTTGCAGCAGCAAGAGCAGTAATCTTCCAGAAGCAGCCAGGCTGCCTCAGTGTGGGTTGTTTCACGGGTGTGTAATCTTGCTACCTGTAATCTTACGAAGAACACATAGGACTCCTGAAGGTAATGGGGTCCTCAGTGATGGTCAGGTGGGGATCACCAGGAAATGCTCTGCAGGAGGGTTATATGTTGTGCAGTGTTTTAGTGGTGAAATATTGGGCCTTAATTAGGCTGAAAGTGCACGGCTGGGTCTCGCTCTTCTGAGCTGTGCTTCTTGGAAGGGGGTGTTTGCACATTTGTAGGCAGCAGAAGGAACCTTTCTCAAGCATATTGATATAAAACTTAAAAATAGTTCCTTGCAAGAAGCTGCAATTTGAACTGGATGCCAAGAGAGCTCTCAGTCTCTACTTGTGCATCCCTCCTGGTTATTCTGGAAGCAGTGCTCTCTGAATTAATTTGTGTGAATGGAAGGGCAGGCTGCACTGCTTGGTGGAGGGCAGTCCAGAGGCACAAGAGCCAGCTGTGCTGGGCCACTCCGCTTCCAGAGGTGACCACGGGGGCAACTGGGCAGCGGCCAAGGCTCTGCAATGCCTCCTAGGCAGGTCCTGTGGCACCTCAGAGATGTTCTGAGCCAAGGAGAGGAATGGAACGTCATCCCTGTAAACTCAGATGGCCCTTGGGTTCATTCCTTGCTTCTCTTCCAGGCTCATTGTGCACCCTCCCGTGCAGAGCTGGTGCTTTTTGTGAGGGTCAGGACACGGATTGCCGGCTCGTGGCAATTCCTACAAAGGTTTGTTGTGGCACTGCAGTGAGCTGTCCGTGAGCGCTCATCAAGTCATTAACCTTCGTATTCAGGCTGGATCAGGAGGGCGGGGTAAGATCTTAATTCCTGGCGGGTAAGCCATTGGTTGTGTTTTCAGTTTCTGAACAGGTCAGGCAGGAGAAATGCAGCATCTTTGGGCACTAATGGTGAAAAAAGATGAGAGATAGGGCATTAGGAGATAGTGATATAGTGTATAAAAATATGTAACTAATGCACATCAGGTGTTCACAGAGGGTTTGAATTATACTGCTCACTGCACTATGGACTTGTGATTTAAAAAAAATTTACAAACCCACCTTTTGTGACGTGTGGGTTGGGGTTTGTTTTTTTTTTGTTTGTTTTTTTGTTTGTTTTTGTTTGTAGTTTGTTTTGGTTTTGGTTTTATGTTTGTTTTTTTTTTAATTTTCTTTATCAACGTAGTTATTTCCATATACACACGAAAGTTTTGAAGAGCATTTTGAGACAGAAAATAGGTGAAAAACTTCAGGAATACGAATTTTGACTTTGGGAGGTCTGATGTGAAAAACATGGTTAAGCTATTGTGTGTTTCAAAGCAGTTCTCTTTTGAAAAAGGTGAGTTTTCTGTGAACAGGCATAAAATCAATTAAAAGTAGAATTGTCTGCTTTCTAAAAGAAGTGTTATTTTCTGGGAATAGTATTCAAAGTCCCACAGCAATCTAAAAAGTTCACAGTGCTTGGGCAATAAATGTACCATATGATCTTGAAACTGTTGTTCCTGAGGCTGTTCCTTATAGTTTTCATGCTAATTTGTACCTGGCTTATGCTGACTTGACTAGAATTATTTCTGACTGTTACTGGTTGGAAATCAAATCAACTTTTTAAAAATTTAAATAAACTCCAAACTAGGAAACAACTAAAAACACTCACTAAACTTAGCATATGGAGCACACTTTTAGAGACGAAGAAGAAAGCAAACAAAGTCATAAAGATATTTTAGGAGACACTCTGATTTCACGTCTCAGCTCAGTGTAACAGAGAGGCAAATACTCCATGTGAGCAGTGTTGAGCCAAGTTATCTGTGTTACAAACCTTCACTTTTCCTATGGCCATTAAGCCACTTACCTGAGTGACAACAGTGGATTTACAGCAGCTTTCTCTCCGCTGTGGATGCTTGTGTGTTTTATGGCATGTTGTAAGTGCTTTTTTGTAACTACTGAATCAAACATCTGAAAGTGGGGAAAAATGTATTTAAACTCAGTTTTATTTATAAAGACTTAAAACTGAATCTCTCTGTCATTGTTAATTTCTTTATTTCTCTTTGTATTTCTCTCTGAAGTAGAGTGGCACTTCAAGAAGAGTAGGATAGCTTGTGGAGGAAAAAAATAATTTAGGCCTGATCTCTTCTTGTCTATAAGTTACAACAAGTTCCGTGTTTTCACAGCTTAATTTATTTGGCACACATGCTGTGTATACTCTCTGTAGTGTCTTTG